AATAAAAGTCCGGGCGGGCGGGTCATTTTTTTTGTTTCATGTTATGAGAAACAAAAAATTAAGTTTATATGGCCTTAGGTTTGAATTAATTTAATTAAGTATAAAATAAATTAAATATAAATAAATCTAAATTAAATTTAAACAAATTTAAATTAAATTTAAAATAAGCTTAAATAAAGTTTAAATATATTCAAATTATAGTACTGTAGGTTTAAAATAAAATCTAATTACTAGTAAATAGATTTTGTTTAAATAAATACAAAATAATTTAAGTTGGGTTTAAATAAACTTATATTAAATTTAAAATAAACTATATAAATTAGATAAAACTGTATAAAATAAATCTATATAATTTGGATTTAATTTTGAATTATTGCTTTAAAATCATCTTTTGATATTTTTAATTAGGCTAATTTAATAAAAGCAAATTTATATAGTATATTAGTTTATATTTATTTAAATCTTTTTTTGCCTTTATTGATTCGAAACTTTATTTTATAAACTATTAACCATATAAATAAAAAGAAGTATATAAATATAAACTAATACATAGTTTTGATTTTGTCTAAATTAAAAAATAATTTTTAAAACAAAACCTTATTTGGGTTCAAAATAAACTAGAGTTGGGTTTAAATAAACAAGTTTAGTTTGAATTCAAAATAAACTAGATTGAATAGTTTAAAATAAATCTTGTTTGGGTTTAAAATAGACCTGGAGTGGGTTCAAAATAAACTGGGTCGAACTTGGGTTGGGTTTAAAATAAACCCGGGCTGTGTTCAAAATAGACTTGTTTGGTTAGAGCTGGGTTCAAATAGACCCAGATTGGGTGGTTCAAAATAAACCGGGCCAGGTTCAAAATAGATTAGGGTTGGATTCAAAATTAGACCAAGTTGTGCAAAACAGACCGTCTTGGGTTTAAATGAACTTGTTGGATGGTTCAAATGAATCGGGTCAAACCCAGGCTAGGTTCAAAATAAACTAAGATTGGGTTCAAAATGGTCTCAAATTGGTTCAAAAATCTAAATGACCTAGAATAATCTTATTTGCATCAAAGAAAGTTCAAATAAACTGGAATAGGTTTAAATTATCATAGTTATTATCCAGGTTAACAGATCAAATAGAAATCCTAAGATTTTAAACACACACTTAAAGTTGATGTAGATGTCGTGCTTGAAGTTAACTCAAATATTACACTGCTTGAAAATGACATCTTCAAGTACTAAAATTACCAACTATTTCTAATATCTGATAACCCAAATAATAGCTCTATAATTAAAAATGTTTTTATTTTTGAGTATTGCTAATCTTCACCGGAGAAAATTTCCCTATTATACAATCTGTATATTGAGATTTTATATAAATTTATATATGTAGTATTTATCATTATTACAGAATATATTTATTTATTTATTACAATTTATAAATTTATTTATTTATTGCATTGTATATAAGTATAAATGAAACAATATTACAAACATTTCCCCATAATAACCAAACCATATACATATTGTACTCCATATATATATATATATATATACTGCATAATCATTACTATTTTAACCATTACTCTAACAGCTAATCTACTACCGTATAAGTGTGCAGATGTAGATTCAAATTTTGGCCTAAATTAAGCCTAATTCGGGACATTATTCAAAATAACGCCTCTGCACGTTATTATTATATAGTGCTTATACGGTAATTCTATTTCCCTAACCGCTAATCTAATTCTATTCTAACCATTAAACAACGAATACGTACTAACGGACCCTAAATCACTAAAATGATAAAACTTATACCCACAAAGATTCATACATGACAATAGACAGATCATAACTTCACATTAGGTCACACCATCTTCAACATATTCTATTCACGAAGGTATCAAAACTAGAACAGATTTCAGTGATGACGACATTGAAGCAACGACCAAAAGACAACAAAACATATAATTAACGATGAAACCAGCAATGACAAGAACACAAACCTAGAGAGAATGAAGCGGTAATAATAAAGTAAACAAACACGTAGTTAGTAAATACGAAATAAATAAAACGATGCAAACGAATGACAAGAACATCAATCTAAAAGAACGAAGCGAAAAACGAATTTATCATGTCGAAACTATAAAACCACCTTGCCAATTAATATATGAAAAAACAAATCTGGAGAACAAGGGCTTAATCTCAGCAGATCGTAGCACTAAGACTACTCTACTGCTTAC